CACTAACACATGATTTTTTTTTTTTTTAATATAATCCCCCCAGCCTCCTTACCTCTTGGAGTGCTGGGGGGGATTATTCCTGGGTCCAGTGGGGCTCCTGGGCGGGCGGCCGGTCGGGCAGGCAGGCGGGCGCGCGAGGGAGCACTCAGTGCTTCCTCTTCAGCTCCCTCGCGCGCCGCGTAGGGATGCCGGCGCCGGAAGATGACGTCATCTTCCGGCTCCGGTATCATTGCGGTGCGCGAGGGAGCTGAAGAGGAAGCACTGAGTGCTCCCTCGCGCGCCCGCCTGCCCGCCCGACCGGCCACCCGGGGTCAGCAGGGCCAGCCTCGGGGGGCCCTGGGGTGGTCGGCTCCTGGGCCCCCCAGGGGAAGAGGCTGGCCCTGGGCGTACATACCGGGTCGCAGGGGCGGCCGGGCCCCCTGGTGGGCCGGGCCCGGTCGCAGTCGTGACCCCTGCGTCCCTGGTATGTACGCCAGTGCGTCAAGGGGTGAGATATAATAGGCAGGGCCGCCATTAGAAATTTTGGTGCCCCTGGCAAAGCACAAGGTCTGGGGCCCACCCTCTGTCCCCCCGCAGTGAATGCAGAGTGTGTGTTTGTGTAGCGAATGCAGTGTGTATAGTGAACGCAGAGTGTGTTTGAGTAGTGAATGTAGTGTGTGTACAGTGGTGTAGTGTGTGTTTCTGTAGTGGATGTAGTGTTTGTGTGTACTAGATGCAAAGTGTTTGTGGATGCAGTGTCTGTAGTGGATGTAGGGTGTGTATTAGATGCAGTGTCTCTGTATAGTGAATGCAGAGTGTTTCAATGTGTGGTGGATGTAGTGTGTGTACTGTGAATACAGGATGTTTGTCTAGTGGATGCTGTGTGTATAGTTAATGCAGAGTGTGTGTCAGTATAGTAAATGCAGAGTGTGTGTCAGTGTAGTGGATGCAAAGTGTGTGTCAGTGTAGTGGATGCAAAGTGTGTGTCAGTGTAATGAATGTAGAGTGTTTGTCAGTGTAGTGGATTCAGTGTGTGTGTCAGTGGAGTGGATGCAGTGTGTGTGTCAGTGTAATGAATGCAGAGTGTGTGTCGGTGTAGTGGATGCAAAGTGTGTGTCAGTGTAATGAATGCAGAGTGTGTGTCAAAGTGTAGTGGATTTGCGTGTGTGTCAGTGTAATGAATGCAGAGTGTGTGTCAGTGTAGTGGATGCAGAGGGTTGTCAGTGTAATGAATGCAGAGTGTGTGTCAGTGGAGTGGGATTTGCGTGTGTGGCCAGTAATGAATGCAGAGTGTGTGTCAGTGTAGTGGACGCAGTGTAAAAGTGTCAGTGTGAAGCGGATGGTGTGTGTGTCAGTGTAGTGGATGGTAAAATAAAGTGGAGTGGGATGCAGTGTGTGTGTGTTGTGTTAGGGTATGCAGTGTGTGTGTTGTGTTGGTGTATGCAGTGTGTGTGTGTTAGTGTATGCAGTGTGTGTGTGTGTTGTGTTAGGGTATGCAGTGTGTGTGTTGTGTTAGTGTATGCAGTGTGTGTTGTGTTAGTGTATGCAGTGTGTGTGTGTTGAGTTAGTGTATGCAGTGTGTGTGTGTGTGTGTGTTGTGTTAGTGTATGCAGTGTGTGTTGTGTTAGTGTATGCAGTGTGTGTGTGTTGTGTTTGTGTATGCAGTGTGTGTCAGTGTAGTGTATGCAGTGTGTGTGTTGTGTTAGTGTATGCAGTGTGTGTGTGTGTCAGTGTAGTGTATGCAGTGTGTTGTGTTAGTGTATGCAGTGTGTGTGTTGCGTAGTGTATGCAGTGTGTGCTGTGTTAGTGTATGCAGTGTGTGTCAGTGTAGTGTATGCAGTGTGTGTGTCAGTGTAATGAATGCAGAGTTTGTGTTGAGTTAGTGGATGTAGTGTATGTGCCAGTGTAGTGTATGCAGTGTGTGTGTTGTGTTAGTGTATGCAGTGTGTGTGTCAGTGTAGTGTATGCAGTGTGTGTGTTGTGTTAGTGGATGCAGTGTGTGTGTCAGTGTAGTGTATGCAGTGTGTGTTGTGTTAGTGTATGCAGTGTGTGTGTCAGTGTAATGAATGCAGAGTTTGTGTTGTGTTAGTGGATGTAGTATGTGTGTCAGTGTAGTGTATGCAGTGTGTGTGTCAGTGTAGTGTATGCAGTGTGTGTGTAAATGTGCAATCTAGGGGGGGAGGCGTGGGGAAAGGGGCATTTTCAAATTAATTTTATATTAAATTAAATTAAATGTTTCTCCCCCCTCCCTGCTTACCTGTGTCCAGGGAGGGAGGAGATTCCATCCCTCGTGGTCCAGTGGCATGGAGGGCCCCCCTGGCTCCCTGTTACCGCAGAGGGGGGCCCAGCACACAGCTTCTTCACATGCAGTTCATTGCCTCCAATAACTCTTGCGAGACCCGAGGCCTGTGTGCCGCGTGGAGCGTTGCCATGGTAACAGGCCGCGGCTAACCCATGGCAACGCTCCACGCGGCACACAGGCCGCGGGTATAGCGAGAGTTATTGGAGGCAATGAACTGCCGGGCCCATGACAACCATCATGGTTGTCACCCCGTGATGGTGGCCCTGATAATAGGCAGCAAGTGAACAGTAAGTACTGTAATGCAGGGAGCAGTAAAAATAGGCAAGCAAAAAGATCTGAGTGACTTTGACAAGAGCCATATAGTGATGACTAGGGGAATAGGTCAGAGCAACTTCAAATTGGCAAGTGTTGTGGGGTGTTCCCAGTATGCAGTGGTTAGTACCTACCAAACATGTTGCCAGGAAGGACAAAGGTGAACTGGTGTCAGGGTCATAGGTGCCTAAATCTCATTGATGCGCGTGGAATGCAAAGATTAGCCCATTTGGTCCGATCACACAGAAACACAGAAACTTAATGCTGCCATGATAGAAAGGTATCAGACAACACAGTGCATCACAGTTTGCTGTATATGGTCAGAGTACCCATGAAGACCCCTGTCAACCGGTGAAAGCACATTCAATGGCGATGTGAGTTTCAGAACTGGACCATGGAGCAATGGAAGAAGGTTGTCTTGTCTGATTAATCATGTTTTCTTTTAGATCAGCTGGAAGGCTGGTGTGTGTGCATTGTTTACCTGGGGAAGTGATGTCAGCAGGATGCACTATGGGAAGAAGGCAGGCTGGTGTTGTTATGCTCTTGGAAATGTTCTGCTGGGAAACCTTGGGTCCTGGCATTCATGTGGATGTTACTTTGACACATACCACTTACGTAGAGATTGTTGTAGACCACGTACATCCCTTCATGGCTATGGTGTTTTCTGATGGCAGTGGCCTCTTTCAGCAACATAATACACTCCGCCACAATGTAAAAATGGTTCAGGAATTGTTTGCGGAACATGACAAAGAGTACAAGCTGTTGCCTTGGACCCCAAATCCCCCCAATCTGATTGAGCATCTGTGGGATGTGCTAGAACAGGGGTAGGCAACCTTTTAGTAGCACTGAGCCTAAACAAGATCCCTTGGCATGACTGTTGTATTGTTTTTTTTTAAACTGAGGTGTGTATGTTTTTTTATTCTGCTTGTTTTATTTATGGGTACTGCAGTTGCTTTGTAATGTTGAATTTGTGTGTGTATGTGGGCTGTTATATTGTATATGTTCATGAACAGTTTGTGATAATGTGTAATGATACTTTTGCATGTGGGCTATGTATGGGGACTGCTTGTAGAATTGTGTGGATGATATGTCACATTGTGTGATTAGTTGTGTGTGTACATGTAGGGCTGTTTGTGGTATTGTCAGTGGTGTTGTGTTTGTGGGTACTGTGTGTTGGCTGTTTGTATTATATGTATGAGAGGGGGAGTGAGGCTTCTTCTGTAGCTCTTTGTATATCTAGCAGTGTGGGTAGCTTTCCTGGGTGGGATTGTGCTGGCCAGATACAGGTCAAGGGAAGAAGCTGAGACAGCTGCTGTGGGCTGCTCTACTCCAGTTCAGATTCCTGTTCACAAGTGCTGGGAGGCTGTTTTCTGAGATAACTTCTTCTAAGTGCTGCAATGCAGTTTGATTCAAGTACCACTGGAACTCCTGATAGGCCAGAGCCTCTTTGGCTCTAGCAGCCTTGAGTCCCATGCAAAGGCATCTTGTGTGCCATGCATGGTACACATGCCATATGTTACTGACCTCTTTGCTAGAACAACAAACCCGATCCATGGAGACCTCATCTAACAACTTGCAGGATTTAAAGGATCTGCTGCTGAGGTCTTGGTGCCAGATACCACAGGACACTTTCAGAGGTCTTGTGGAGTCCATGCCTTGACGCACAAGGTATTTTGGCAGTACGAGGGGGACCTATACAATATTCGGCAGGCGGTTTTAATGTTGTGGCTGATCAGTGTATATTTATGTGAATCCTATGAAAGAGTGATTAAAAGCCGTCTACACAGTGTGCTTACAGAGGGAAAGTCCCATGTGAGAGCAGAAAGTACTTTGACACCATTTGCCTTGCTAAAAGGAATTAATGTAATTTTTAACAACTAGTATGATTTTGTAAGAAATATTTATCAACACAATTAATCAAATTATCATGTGCACGTTCTTATTAAACTAAGAAATATATCTTAAAAATGTGAAAGAGTTATATGGTTTAAAATGGCTATGACATAAATACTACTGATAATAAACACAGCTATTAAACTCATTTGGCAGCCCAAAACCAATTTCAAGTATTACTAATAAATAATAATGTTTAAAACATTCTACAAACCAATGTAAGGAGGAGTTTGGGTTGTTGGTGTAGTTGTTCGAGTAGTTGTTGGTGTGGTTGTTGGAGTAACTTGTCCAGTAAATGCGCTGTATTTGGCATGAAAACCCATTCCAGTGCCTTCGCTGTCTGACTTGAACCGAACCATTAATATATTTCCGGTGGAATACACAGGTGATGGAATTTTATTTCCACAGAAGTGTCCTGCAAATACAACAGTATTTATTTTTAATCAATTAACACTAAACATGTTCATGGTCCCACATTTGAAGGCTTTATTTAGCATTCTGTGATAAGGCATTTGCCAACCCATTGCAATGTTGATCTATTATTGCTAAAGTTTTCTTGATAATTATCATTTAAATAAAAAGCTGCTGCTACTAGGGAATTAGAATTAAACTTGCCAGTCATTAGAAAAAGTTTTAGCTCATTTTATTTTTCAGCATGTTTATTTTTGATCTAAAAATTGCAATTCCCTGCCAATTCTCCACTATTTTGGATTCAGTAAATAAACCTCAATCTAATGCACTGATAGTAAAACTTTTTTTTTGTAATGAAGTTCAGATATCTGAAAAGTGCTCCAATGTATGTAAAATGGTATTATTCATTATTTTTACTGAAGAAATACCCCAAGCACAATAACTACTAAAGCTACAGGGGTATGCCCTGATCACCTGGCCACCTTTACTAATTATGATGCCTGGAATGTTCCTTTAACACATCAAATGCACAAACTATATTAAGGTAATTGCTTAGTTTCAAGAAAGCACATGGAAATGGATTTTATTTTTTACTTTTGCCATTAACTACCTTTCCTTTGCTTATATGAATAACTTAAAGGGACACTGTAGGCACCCAGACCACTTCGGTCCATTGAGGTGGTCTGTGCCAACTCCCATCACCCTTAACCCTGCATATATATAAACTGCAATAATTACCTTGCAGGGCTAAGTCCTCCTCTAGTGGCTGTCTACGAGACAGCCACTAGAGGGACTTCCAGGTTCTTAGATGACTTTTGGACGCCTAAACAAAACTGGACATTCTCACGCTATACATGAGGACCTCCAGCGTTGCCTGAATCCCCATAGGAAAGCATTAAATAATGCTTTCCTATGGGGAGGTCTAATGCACGCACGCGGCCATTGCCGCAAATGTGCATTTAATCTCGCCCGCCGGTGGATGTCAGTTGGAGAGTAGCATGGGGGGAGCCTGAACAAACCCTGGCACTAGAGAATCCTTTTAAGAATTTTTAATAACTAGTTATCTCTATAGCATAGAACACAATTTATCACCTAAAATAGTTATTTTCACTCATATATTTTGCAAGTGTCACAGTCACTGACAACAGCTTCCATCTAATATCAATGTCATCAACACAACAATGGTGAAACAAGACCTGCATCCTGGGCCTCTGTTAGAACACTGTATAAACTCCTCTTACAATGATTTACACAATCAATCTATTCACTGAATACATAAAACGTACCAATTTTCTGTGATCCTTTGGTGTCTCCATCATAAACTTCAACAACATCCTTGCAGCCAGCTGGACCTTCAGGTTCAAGGTCAAATGATGTAAAGGTCAGCATAATTCTTTGGTTTGAGCCAACAGACAATCTCCACTGTACACAAAAGACAGAAAGAAACAAAGCTGCATAATGACATTTTCTTCACCAGTTTAAGGTAGGACTGTCACTTATCTGGAAATTACAGCGTTAAATATAAAATTATAATCACCCTGTGATGACTTGTGTGAGCCTTTTTTTTAATAAGATGCTCTGTTTTCATTTAAAATATATATGAAAATTCTAGCAAGTGACACCACAATCCAGTTCAGTCCAGTGAGAGAAAATTTGGCCCAACCAAACCATTTTTTCAGAAAATAGAACTTTTTTTAGGACCCCCCCATTTCATCCGAATAGAGTATGTGCTCTTCCATTATCTGAATTTTACATATATTTTGGTCTTTACAGCAGCACCACTCCTAAAAAATGCATGTTCTATGTGTACCCCCAATTCCCATTTTTCTTTGTATATTTGGAATCCAGACTAAATTCCTTTTGCGTTGATCACCCTGACCCCAACACTCCAGGTGCCCGGTTTCCAAATGATCACAAGAAAGCATAAATAAGAGGAGAGTTTCTGTAAGCGGTTTAAGCAGTTAGGATTGCAGCTAGCATGATTATCTTCCATGTTAAAACTAGTGTAGGACTGACCAATATTGGGGTACTTTGGCAAAGTGGTGGGCTTAACACACTATGGCCAATTGGTGTCACTAAATCCACATATTTATTTGCTAACGTAGTGATTTTAAGTAGCCTGATAAATATTACAACTGTATTTTTTTGTGACTGCGCTGTTCCTTAATCTGCATTTTGCATTGTTTTGCATGTTCTGGTTGTGCCCCCCAATTCCCTTTTTTCTTTGCTGTAGGGTATGACCACAGTTTTAGGATGATTAATATTTTCATATCCACTCCATGATTTCACTATTTTGGGACAAAGCTAGCTTTGCATCTAGTTCATAAGAAAAATCTTGGAGAATCTAAGGAAATTGGTCTATCAGTTTCTGACTTTACACACTTACAAACACTGCTTTCTTTGGTTAATGGTCTGCAGTTACCAAAATCACTAATGACTACAACATTGCTAGTATACGTCTAATCTGTATAATCTGTCTGACCATTCTTGTGTATATCTCTTTGTGAATATGGTCTGCAACAAAATTCATTGCCATTTAACCATTCCGTTGACTATAACTTCTCAGCATCTGAAAGAGGAAAACCGAGGAAATTACAAAAAGATGAACAATTGATAATTAGACCCTCGGAAAAGGGTAGTAACATTGACCTTCTTAACCAAGAGGATTTATAACTATGGAGCATCATACTGATGATGATAATTACAGGAAAATTGAGTTTGAACCCACGTTACAAAATGTCAAAGAGTTGCAAGGACTATTGGATGAGGCTGTAGCTAAGTCTGTTATTTAAAAGTTGAATTCAACTATCTACAATGTGCAAAACATTGTATCGATGCTTTTTACTGTTTACACAAGATCCACAAAAATGGCAGCATCCACAGGCCACCCAATTGTGTCTGGTAGGGGCTGCCTAACTGAGCTTGATAACATCTTTGTGGATACAGTTTTAGGACCTGTGTTGGTGAAAGGCCCCTCCTACATTAGAAACACTAAAATATTCTGAAATTGGAAATTATTGATGTCCCTCCTTACACAGTCATTGCCAAATATATCCTCCATAAAATGAACCTGCATGCTTGCAGTTACTTCTTGATGCAGAACAAATGGTTTAATCACAAACAACATAAATTTGTATTGACACTTCTAAATTTTATTTTTACCCATGATTCCCTCTTTAATAGGAGTACCTACCTATAAACTAGAGTACAGTTATGGGAACATGCTGTGCCCCTAGATATGCCAACATATTTCTGGCATGGTGGGAGGCAATCTGTGTGTTCAATCTACCTTGGAAAAATGCACTTGCCACACAATAATTCTGTCCATATACATTGATGACACCATCCGGTTTTGGATGGGCCAGATGTCTTTGTTTAATGATTTAATTCAATAACTGAATGACAATTATGTTAGCTTGAAATTGACCTTGGTAATACATGAGAAATAAGTAGTTTTCCTTGACCTGATGATTTCCATAGCTGAAGTTGGATCAGTTTTAACCAATTTACACAGCAAACCCTCTGCAACCAATAGTCTCCTAAACTGGACTGGTTTGTATCACAAGAGTTTAAAGAGGGGGATCTCGTTTGGACAGTATCTCCACCAAAGGAGAAATTGTACCAAAGATGAGGATTTTAAATGTAAGGCTAAGCTGCTCAAGAGTCGCGTTAAACAAAAGGGTTATCTAAATCGGCTACTTAAATTAGCCTACAGAGACATGCTTCTTATACTCAACATGAATGTATAGTTACATCTAAAGCTATAAATATTCCACAAAACTAAGTGCATTGGCCCTATCACTTCAGGCTGGGATGATATCTCCTAAATCGTCAAAAAACTATGGTCAATACTGTTGAACGGTAGTGACTTATTCAATGCTTTCACAAGTTATCACTCTCTTCTTCCTTGCAAATTAAACAGTATCAGAGATCTATTCATTTACAGTCATTCATACCCACTGAAATCTATATCTACCATGCTCATGACTACCAATGGTGCTTTTAGATGCGGACATTACAAGGTATGTCAATTTATTCTTATGTGTAAACAGGTTCTAAATAACTTCTCATGACCTTATGTGATGACAATCTCTTTTGTGAATTGTTCTTCCATCTTTCTGGTTCACATCATTGCCTTTGTTGAAGGCTCCAATAACAGGAAAAACTTCAATTTAGGTGGAATATATTGCAACATATCAACTAGTTTACCAATGTTAATGTATCTCCCTGGTCTCATGACATGTCATCACTTATCACAATGGTGACCCTAACCATTTGAAATTGATATGGAGCATTACCTTTTCTGTTTTTTTTTTTTTGTCTCCTTTGCCTATTTTAGAGTAGGAGGTTTGGAACGCCTTGACACATTGTCTCACTTTTAATACTTCCATGCTTTTTTGTATATTTTTAACTGGGTGATGCCTAACTTAATCTGAAGTTACGTGATCATGTCCTCAGTATTTGTGAGGCATCAAATGTCCTGTGATTGGGCTAAGTAACTGCCACTCATTAGTTATTCTCCAACGTGTATTGACCTCTTTCACAAACATTAATATGTGGTCCCCAGTCTTGGGTGTACATTTTCTATTTGTATTTTTTTGCTACCCATCCTGCTCTGTTCTGGAATATTTTCATACCTGCTTTCAAAGGCGTTCTTTACCCCTGATGAGTGATTGTGAAACACAAGTTGGGGTGCTAGCATTAACTGTGAGTGATATTTCTTAGTTGGAGATGTAGTTTTACTACCTTTTCTCTTTTTAACTTGTCTACACTAATTTGTTTATCTCTTTCCCTGCCCTGTCTGTCCTTGCCTTAGCTTGGTTTCTGATTTTAGTGTAAAAACATTTACATTTTAGAGTATTTGTCTACACAATATTCTTCCTGTTGTATGTTTTTTAGTTCTTCCTAATGGTTACTTCTGGCTTTTTTTGGTGTATAGCTCTTTTTTATTTTTAGCAGCAGTGGATTCTTTAATACAATAAAGACGGTTTTTTTTTATTTATTTTTTTAAACGCACTTTAAAAAGCAAACATGTCCCACGTGTAGTTAGCCTTTGTCGGGGACCCGTGATAGTGCAACCATTGCTCATGCTATTATGTATATTAACAATCTGTGTGAAGTAAATTACATTCACCCACAACTGTACAGAATACTGTAATCTGCTGTGATGTGATTGTTATTGTACACCCTCCCTACCCTCCATTTTATTTTCTGTACCCCTCCCACTTATCTTTTTTATCTATGAAAAACAATAAGTTTAAATAAAAAAAAAAAAAGCAAACATCTTTATACCTCACTTTTAAACTTCTCAGTAAGAAACTACATACTCAAGTTCACTACAGGTAGGTACACATCTGTGTAATTACCTGTGTCTATATGAATTATTAGATGCTAATTATATCTCACAGTGGATTTTACCCTCTTAATACATCAGACACCTTATGCAACTGAGAATTACATATTTCATTTATTCTAATTGTAAATCGAATTAGAAAGCAGAATGAGATGCTGTAATTACACATTGTGATAGATTTAAATTTAATTATAGCATTATTTTCATAGGAAACAATTATCAGCACAAAATCTAGGCCACACCTGGTCTCAATTTCCTTTATTCTTTGCAGCTGAGACAGCAATACATTGCATGCAAATCTTTCAGCACATACAAAATAAATGTAGGCTGCAGTCACAACTAG